GCCGCTGCTGCTGCCTCTGCTGCTGCTGGTCTCTCTTCTTCCGCACAAGCGGGCTGTCTAGTCCGGACCTTCCCACTCCCAATGCCCCCAAGCCTCCGCCCGAGCCTCCCCCCGAACCAGCCCCGAGAGCTTCCAGAGCAGCGCGGCTAACAGGAGAGGCGGAGGAGGTTCTGGAGAGGTCCCGAAACAGAGGAGATTGAGCGGAATTCGCTCCTCCTATGCCTCTGCTGCCACCAATCACAGCAGCAGCACCACCTGAGACTGAACCCGCAGCAGCTATGGCACCTGCAGCGGCAGTAGCACCCGCAGCAGCAATGGCTCCTGCAACTGCAGCAGCAGCAGGGACAGAACCCAAAGAGCCTGCACGCACAGGGCTGCAGTAAGCGTCACTGCCACTGGAATCATCCTCTGCCACAGACGACCCAAACGACCCGAATCTCCGCCTCCTGCGCTCCCCACCCTCCTCCTGCGCGCGGCTGGGCGGGCGTGGGGGCACCTGGGGGAAGTTCTTGGGGAGGGATGGGCGGAAGGAGGCGGAGGCGGAGGAGGAAGAGGCGGAGAGGTGAGAGAGGGAGTGGGGTTGCTGGGGCGAGAGGGTGGAGGGGAGCTGGTGCAGATGCTGCAGTCGGTGGTGCTGGTGCTGGTGATGCTGCTGGTGGTGGTAAGGTTGCTGATAATGGAGTGAGGAGGGGGATAAAGCGGTTTCACTAGCAACAGCAGCAGCCGCAGCCACAGCAGCAGCAGCGGCACTAGAACGACCGCCAGTACCAGAAGAAGGGCTGCGGGCCCTACCAGCAGCGGAGGAGAAGAGAGCCAGAGCAGCACTATCCGCCCCGTGACTAGCTGACCGCACGTGACTCCTGGGAGGTATACTTAAACTGCCTATAACACCCGCCACATGGTGTGGCGCTCGAGGGGGGGTCCCACTACCCTCCACCCGCCCTGCTCCCGCTGACCCAAGCGCTCTCTCCCCCCACCCCCCAGCCCTCACCCCTCCTCCGCCCCCCAACGCAGCAGCTCTTCTTGCAGCAGCAGCAGCGGCGGCTGCCTCTCGGACTCGCAGCCACTGGTCCTCGTCCCGACTGCCCCCTATCCGCCCGTCACACGTGCTCGATCGCTCTATTGGCTCTGGGCTCTCCCAGCCGTCCTCCTCTTCTTCCTCCTCCTCCTCTTCCTCCTTCTTCTCCTTCTCCTTCTCCTCTTTCTTCTCCCCTTCCCCCCCATTCCCCTCCATTTCAGTTTCCTGCTTCTTCTCCCCATCCCTCATGCTCTCCCTCGTACCACCCACCATAGGACCAGCAGGTTCCGCATCAGTGCCCATTCGGCCAATCCGACCTTCCGTGACGCCACCCGCGCCACCACCGTTTAAATCACTCTCCATACTGTCCCCCGAACCTCGAACTGCTACATCCGTCCCCCAACCTTCCGCCCTGGCACCCGTCTCCGCTTCTTCCGCCCCGAACCCCTCTTCTTCCCCGCCCCCCCTCCTCAGTAACTCTTCCCCCCGAGGCACTTCCGCCCGTGGCGCTTCCGCCCGTGGCCCTTCCCCCCGCGGCCCTTCCCTAACCGGCTCTCCTCCCCGCGGCCCTTCCCCCCGCGTCCCTTCCGCCCGCGCAGCCGCCTTGCGCTGCTCCTTGATCTGCCGGCGCTTCTCAAGAATCGCCTGAATCACTGTCCTAGCCTCGCCCGTTCCCTGCCCGCTCCCGTGCGCCTCCTCACTCAATGCTATCGACTCCTCACTCGAGTCGCTCCCCCTCTCCGCCCCCACCGCCCTTTCCGCCCTCTCTGCTCTCTCCGGTCTCTCCGCCCTCTCCGCCCTCTCCGCCCTCTCCGCTCTCTCCGCTCTCTCTGCTCTGCCCAGCCTACCCTCGCAGTCTGCCTCACCTTCCGCCATCCCCCTTTCCGCATCCCCTTCCGCCTTCCTCTCCCCCTTCCGCCCTCCGCCCGCCCCAACGCCCCCTTCCCCGCCACTGCTCCGCAGCGCCTTCCGCTCTTCCCGCCGCAGCTGCAGACTGTGCAGACGGTGAACGCGCTCGCGAATCTCCTCTCCTTGTAACGCGTCAGCCATTGTCGGGGACAGGGGCGGAAAAAAACACCCTTTCAAAGACCCCCCTCGGGCCTTAAGCCGCTGCGCCAGCTCCCCTTTCCCATACGCCCGCGCCAGCTCTTCCCTCTCCCATTCCCCATCTACCCCGGTTACTCCCCCCATTGCTCCCCCTTCGCCCCCGCGTTCCCCCTCCCCGCTCGCCCCGTTCCGCCCCTGGGGGAGCTTCAGCGATAGCCCGAGCCTGCGGCTGAGCGCCCGCTTCGGCGAGGCGGCGTTGGTTCGGATCCGAGGCAGGGCAGGCACGGGGAGAACCTCGTGCATATCCTCTCCTCCCTCTGACACCTGTAACGAATCAGACGAGCTATCCTCGTTACAGCCCTCCGGTTTCTTGCCGCTGCTGCCGCTGTTGGCGTTGGCGTGGCTAATGCTGATGCTGTTGCTGCTACTGCTGCTGCCGTAACCGCTGCTCTTGTTCCGCGAGGTGAGGCTGCTACTAGAGCGCCTCATCATGCCCCCCCCTCCGCTCTGACCCAACCCGGCCCCCCCGCTTCTGCTACTCTCGCCGCTGCTACCCACCTTCCCGCCACCACCGCCGCCGCCGCCGCTGCTGCTGCTGCGAGAAGCGATGCTACTGCTGCGGGAGAACACGCCCCTGATCCCCCCCAGCCCCCCCTCCCCGCGCGCCTTCGCCTGCCGTTTCTTCTCCGCTGCGATGGCGGCCGCGCGCGACGGCGGGGGAAAGAAGTCTGCCTGGCGGCTGGAGCCGCCGGAAGAGAACGACTCAGACATGGCCTTTCTCTCCGGGAACTGCGGCTTCTCTGGAGTTTTCGGGCGCGCGTGGCGGAACATGCTGGGTCTGCGCGCGGGCTCCGGGTCCGTGCTTCCGCGGTGGTCATTATCCGGAGACGCGGAATGCGCGGAGTTTTTCCTGCTTCCGCTTCCGCCGCTGGCGGGGCCATTACTGCTACTGCCGCTGCGGTGGATATTTCTCTCCTCCTCTTCGAAGCTCCTCCTCCTTTCGCTCACATACCCGAACGATGCGGAATAAAACGGCCGCCGATGCGGAACCTCAGGGCCGGCATCCGAGCCTGCCGAAACTTGGCCCTTCCGAGGCTCTGGAACGGGCTCGTCCGGGCCTCCGTCGTCCCTCCCATTGGTGCTGTGCCGCCTCCGGAGGCTCGGCATGCGCCACGTCCGGCCTTTTTTATCCTCCTTAAAAGACCCTCCGTCACCGTCATCTCCTTGCTTCACCAACGCTCTCCGCCTCCTTCCACCGGGACTCTTAACCACATTCAAGCTCGTGGTTTCTGCTTCTAAATCTGCCGGATAAGGCCCGCCAGACCCGCCGTGAGAGTCGGTGGTAGATAGACTACTCTCTGAAGGAAGGAAACTATGGCTGATGACATCATTAGGTGAATTAGTCCCTTTCGACCCACGATACGAAGACTCCTCTTCATAGGTCGTAATCACCGTCCTGCCGGAATTTGTGGAAGCCTTTACACCCGACGCGCGACTCCTGCCTTCTACCCGTGCCGCTGCAATCCGCGCTTCGAAGTTAATCTCCTCGCACGGGTCGGTTCTAGACTGCGGGATGTACTTCGGATGCGCTGCGGGTCCTACAGTTGAGTTAGGGTTCGCTGTACGAGGCCTGCTGACGTCACCCTGCTGATTCTGCTGCGTGTTCCACGTCACAGACCTCGGGACTGCCGAGCGTGGGACTAAAACTGTCTCATGGTAGGTATTTGACGACGCCACGTGGCCCGTTTTGACAGGCCCGCCGGAGTATGCTCTGTCAAGCTCAGTATTGGATGGCATTGTCGATTTTTTTCTAGGCGCATCGCGGCGCGACGCCTCGTGCTGCGATGCTAGCTGCTGTCGGGATGTCTGGTGCGGCGATGGTGAGCCTTGGTGCTGTGCATGAAGGAATGACGGCGATGGCAGCTCAAACGGTAACACCGATGTCCCGCTGTTCTTCGCCATCGCATGTCCCAGCAACTACTGAGCTCATGGGAGAAAATGAGTTAATAAAACCTAATCTATCACTTTCTAACTGCTTTAGGAACCTAGTTTGGCACCGACTGACGAGGTAATCTCCATCCTCATTCCTCACCCAAGAATATCCATTCCCAAGGTCCAGCAAAACATCAGCACGAAACAGTTTCCTGGTTTGGTTGGTCTGGAGAAATTGGCTCTATCCTGTGCCGTACGTACAGTACGCACACACACAGACACACACCTGTTGCTGGTTGGTTCGGTTCGGTCTGTCTGCTTGCATGCACACACAACAGCCCTGGCTTTTAGGGGGGAGGTTCCGCGGAAAGGTGGAAGACTGCTCTGCCAGTGCCGAGCGCATGGTGCGGGAGGGAGCCCAGCCGTGGTGCACCTCGCCTCGACTCGACCCTCGGTGGTTTCGCGGGAGGAGGGATTGGGGGAGAATGGTGCGGGGGAAGGGGGCAAAAAGACATCAAGAATTGCTGCGTTGGCGGAACGGTTGGGGAGGAGGAGATACTACTGAAACGAAAGGGCAAGGAGGCTCGGGAAGCGAGGCTCGGACGGGTCGCGGAAGAACCCATCTGCGCAATTCGTTGTGCTGCGCGGGAAAGCACTACTGGGAAAGACCAGGCAGGGAACGAAAAAAATCCCGCGACCAGGAGCGCAAGCGCATGCTTGCGCCAGCGAAGTTTGGTGAAGGGGGTGTTCAGCTTTCGCAAGAACATGTCTTTCTGCACGCCAGCTCATGGAAATGCAGGTACACGAGTAGGACAAACTGGCTGATGAAACGAACTACAGTGTCCATAGGCTAGGCTTGGGTTGGGTATGCTGTGGGGAATCGGTGGGTTGGGGGTGCGTTCCCATCTGTACGGCCATTATTCATGTAGCGAGTATCGACGGTCGAGAGTGCAGTCATTGGGTTTGACGAGCCAATCTCCTTCCTTTTGTGTATGGAGGGAATCGCCTTCCAAGGCTCGAGAGAGTGCTTGTCTGTTCAATAGCTCATCAGAATCCTGAAGTGCTTGTTTCAAGCAAAGTAACTGTAGTCCATGAAGGCATGATACCGTAACCTCAGACTAAATCTACAATAACATCTGGGTAGATGCTAGAGAGTAGTGCACCACTGAGTACATTTGCAATATTTTGTTCCAAAATGGTCTAGCTACATAGAGGATAGATGGAAACAAATCACCCCGTTAACAGGGCCAAAAGTCCCCACAACTTCCTCATCAGCCAACTCTTCACATGTTACAGCACGTAATAATTGCGAAGGTAGGTCATCACAAACAAAGGCATTGGAAGGCATGCACCAATAAATTACCGCAGGCTCACAGCCCACATGCAATATACACAACATCAAGTGAGTAGAACAACACAAGTTTACAGGCAGCACAGCACGATAAATAATCAAGAAATCCCATGCGTATGGACCAATGGGGAAAACTGAAATCAAGAGGAAATACAATAAGAGCAACAGTTGCAAACCTGCAGCTGTAAGAGCTTCAAATTCAAATGGAGCCTCCACTCAGGTGCCGAGAGCAAATGGGGCGATGCAGTATACCATAGCAAAGGAGGTATCTCAAAGCAATCTCATAGCAGCACTAAGAGGAAAAGTTGCAGACGTTGCAGTTGATGGTGCTGTTTGCCGGCTCCCCGCAGGTGCCGGAGAGGGGTGCAATGCGGTAGTTGCACTTCTCGCTCAGCCTGCCAAAGCACGTGACCTGCTTCCACATGGCCGGGCGCGGGTTCAGATAGCAGCAGCCGTCGCACTCCAGATCTGCACGCATCAACATTGGAGTGCGGAAAAAGGGAGGGGGGGAAAGAGAGGGGAGGGAAGGGAAGAGTGGGGAAAGGGGGGAAAGAGAGTTTGGAGATGACAAGCGTGTAGAACAGATGGGGAAGGGGATAGCAGGTGCGGAGAGATGGGGCATCAACAGGTAGAGGGATAAAAGTGTCAGCTGGAAGGGAAACGGAGAAACCACGAGAGGGTGGGAAAATTGCCAAGGGATGGTGAAGGGAGAAGGATGAGTTCCATGGAGGGGGATGCTGGACGGAGAGCATCAGCGGCAATGCGTAAGGAACAACGAGGCGACTATTATCCAAGCCCACGAGAGAGAGAAAGATAGAGATGGAGAGAGAGAGAGAGAGAGAGAGAGAGAGAGAGATGGAGAGAGAGAGATGGAGAGAGAGAGATGGAGAGAGAGAGATATGGAGAGGGAGAGAGAGGGAGGGAGGGCGAGAGGTGGGAGACAGAGGGAGGGGGGAAAATAGGGAGAGAGAGAGAAAGAGAGAGAGAGAGAGAGAGAGAGAGAGAGAGAGAGAGAGAGAGAGAGAGAGAGGGGGGGGGGGGGGGGGGGCGGCGGGGGAGAAAGGCCGGGAGGGGAGGGGGGTGCGGGGAAGTGATATGCATATTGTGTTTGAAGTCGATTGCAAGGCCACCCAAGAAGAGAGACAAGGGTGACCCGAAAAGCGTTGAATGGGGCCAGGTCGGGGCAGGAGTACAGGGAAGCTAGGGTCGAGAAATGGAAGTGACGATTTGAGGCGCGTAAAAAGCAATGACAGACAGAAACGGTGTGTAACACACGCACAAGACAGGCGAATGACGAGCAGTGCTAGGCACATCCACGACACGCGGGCAGCGAACAGCGTAGCACACATCGGTGACAAATCAGGCATGCGGTCGCAAAGCAAGAAAAACCTATCTAGACGGACAGTGCTACAGGAGGAATCGACAATGCCTCGCGGTTCCTCACGGCATGGACTCCCAGCGGTTACAGCGGCGAATCTACACGGCACGCCGCCAATCAGAAGCAGAATCAGGGGAACAAAGTAACGCGAACACTAACCTTTTTGCACGATGTTGCACGAGGAGTCAACCATGTACTCGCAGTTCCCGTTCACGGCGTAGAATCCGAGAGGCGGCAGCGCAGCATCCATGGGACTCGGGAAGTCCTCCTGGAATCCGTTGAACCAGAACGGGGTGAAAGAAACTTCGCCCGTATCCGCGTCCTCGTTATAAGTGCACAGCCAGAAGACGAACCAGCCGTTGTGAAGCGAGTACGGGGATGCGAGAGTATTGGCAGCAGGCAGAACGCCGCCGTAAGTGGTAGCGGCGGAGATGAGCGGGGAATGGTGGAGGAGGAGCAGGAGCGAGAGGATGAGAGGGGTCGCGAGTTTACTCAACCGAGGCGAAGACGGGGGACGGGACAGCGCTAGCTGCGGTTGTGAGAAAGCCATAATGCTGACAAGGATATGGCGGATAAGATTCTATAAATGACGAGAACTGAGAGTTTCTAAGAATGCGTTGGACAAGTTACGAAGGGGGTTGCGAGAGCAGGGAATGTTGGGAGTAAAAACGAACACGCGACTAACAGGCACAAGAAGTACCAGAGGATAATGTTTCACCGCTCAACCGAAAGATCCAGGGATGCACTACGCAAGGCTAGCGCGGCTCAGACGACTAACCGGCCTTCAAAAAGGAAGAAAGGGACCAATAGTCGCTTGCGGACCACTAATCTCAAAGACGATTTGACGTTCTGTGGGTGGGAAGGTAAAGTAGAATTCCTAGGGTTCGTTGGAACTCCATCAACCAAGCTCTGTGCAATTCAGCATGGGTGTCTGGACTGGAGTCTGGCTGGACCCTGGACTCTGCTTGCTCTGTTCTGCACTGTCCTGTCTGTGCGCACCCAGCCCCCTCCGTGCTGCTTGTTTATGCTGCGCCTGAGCATGCTAGTTCCGCCAAGGAGGGGTCACCTCACCACCGCGCATCGGCGGAGCTGTCTTGGGTAGGGTGGTTCACTGGGGTCGGGGACTCGGGGTTGTGGGGGTTGCGGCGGAGTGGTGCGCGGCGCAGGTGGTGGCGGATTCGGGGGAGGTGCCCCTGCAACCACACGGTAACTTTGTCGTTTAGCGCTCGATGGTCTCGAGGATAGAGGATACACATTGTTGTCACACCGTGTCCGACCTTTCCACACCGTACAATCCCCCACTGCTTGTTATTCAGGATACTACTTATGTTGTTATCACTTCACTACCTCCACTTCAAAAGCCTTTTGAACATTCCTTCCTCCTACCAGTATTCACCTGTATCGGTCTGTGGGTACTTAGGCACATCAGCGATTCTGATTTGAGGTGAAGCATCTGAATTTCAACATCCATCACCTACACAGAGCTATATCATACCACAATGCCCACTACACAAACTCTCCATAAGGCTCCCTTTTGGCTTATGCAAGAGCTGGAACAACAAGAGCCTCAGCCTCCTTGCCAATAACGGGCTTGAAAAGAGCATCGTCCTCGTCCTTGGGCGTGTGAATGGTAACCTGCGTTGTATACACATTGTAGAAAATGAAAAAAAAAATGGCATTTATCACATAGGATACTCCATGTATGCACCATAGTCACCAAAATGGGGTGATAATCGGTAAAAGGGAGACAAGTGCAAATGCGCCACGGCACTCACCTGGTCAGGCAGAGGGCGGACAACACCGGCCTTGCCACTGGCGTCGTGAGGAAGCATGATCTTCACCTTGATGCCCAGCACTCCCTGATGGATAGAGAGAACGCAAGGGGGGGAGGCGGGAAGCGGGGAAATGTGGGAAGGTTGGGAGGGAAGGATTGCGGAATGGAGGGGGGAGGAGAAGGGGAACTCTGCCTGGGCTACAATGGAAATGCAGCATTCTCACCTTGACAGCCAGCACTCCCTAGGCAGAGAAGGGGAGGCGCAGAGGTGAGGAGAGGGCGGAGGGGAAGCATGGCGCACACCTTGCTGGCCGGCTCTCCCTGAGCAAGCTCACCTGGCGCAGCACCTGAGCGCGCTCACCTGGCGCAGCACCTGAGCGCGCAAGCTCACCTGGCGCAGCATGACGTGGCGCACGGCGGAGTCGATGTACTCGCGCACGGGCCCACCGGACGAGATCATGTACCCGTCCTTGAACTTCATCGCCTTGGCCCTCTGCGCGCGCAGCTTCCCGCTCACAATCACCTGCGCGAAATGGGGGAAGAAGGGAGAAATGGAGCGCGGGGAATGAGGGGGAGAGGAGGAGGAGGAGGGGGGGGGGGGGGGGGGGGGGGGGGGTGGAGTGGGGAAGGGAGGCGAGGGAAACACTTGAGCATTCTGCCTTTTAGGTCACGGAGAACAACCTCTTGGTATCAGTCCCGTCGCCACTCGCCACTCCCGCCAACCTAGGCTTTGCTCAATTTCTTCCAACACGCCCCTCGCTAACACCATTCTGCAGCCCTCGACGCCGTTCGTCCCTCGCAGCCCCCACCTGCGTCGCACCCCTCTCGACTGGAGATAACCGCGTCAACCCCTCGAAAACCGCTCAACCGCTACCAACCCCTCCAGCACCACCCAGCACCGCTTTCCATTCCCACCTCGCAGCCCTTGGCGTTGCTCTCCATGATGAAGCGCAGCACACCGTAGCACGCGCGGCGCACGGCGAGCCCGCCGAGCAGCTTGTAGCGCAGCGACTCCGCCTGCGCGACGGCGCAGAGGCCCTTGTTGGCAACCTTCTCGGCGTAGAGCTCCACCGTGCCCTCCTTGAACTTGAACCGCTTCTGCACCACCGACGTCAACTCGCGAATGCGCCGCCCCTTCTCGCCTGGAGCAGCAAAGGCGGGGGGCCGGGGGGAGGGGGAGGGGGAGGGGGCGGGGGGAGGGGCCCGGGGGCGGGGGCGGGGGGAAGGAAAAAGACGGGGAATGGGGGGACGAAGGGGGGGAAATGAGCGCAGGAAAAGTGGAGGGACGGAAGGGCATGGTGATGCGGGCGGGGAGCGCAGAGGCCCTTGTTGGCAACCTTCTCGGCGTAGAGTTCCACCGTGCCCTCCTTGAACTTTAACCGTTTCTGCACCACCGACGTCAACTCGTGAACGCGCCGCCCCTTCTCGCCTGCCGCGGAGCGGGTAGGGGTATGGCAAGGCGAAACGTGAAATGTCGAAACTGCGAAAGGCGCCATAATCAATCGTATCATCTTACGAGATTCGACAACCTTTAGGTGAATACCGATTGTCCGTGGCGCGGAGATTCGAGAAACGCGCGGCTTGCCGAGATTTCCGCCGAGAGTTGAACAACAATTTCTTGCCCAGCGCCGAGGCTTACTGAGCACTGCGGCTTACCGAGGACGTTCTGCGTGCGCGTGGCGCGGATGATGATCTCGACGCGCATGGGCGTGTTGCGCACCTCCACGCCCGAGTACCCCTCCTCCGCCAGCTCGCGCGTGAGCAGCTCGTTCAGCTCCGCGTAGAACACGCCGTCCGCCACAAACTGTCATGAGGTTACACGGGGACACGCAATATCGAGTACAGTTGGTGAATGAGAGGAAGAATGAGAACTCGCGCGTCGACCGCTCCGCGTAAAACACGCTGTCCGCCACAAACTGTTGGTAGGGCATAACGGGACGTGCTATAGAGAGTACAGATGCATTAGGGTTCGCGCGAAAGCAGCTAATAAAGCTGGAATCGACGTGCTTCGGAATCTGTCAGTAAAATGACAGCGCAACGATGAGATGCGATACGAGACAAGCAAGGAACATAGGGTTGCATGAATTGCGTAGAAAGGAAGAGCGGGGAAAAAGGGTCGTGAATTTGCGAAAAAACGCAGAGATCCGCGACGCCTCAATGAAACAGGGGGGGGGGGGGCTGCGACGGCTGGGATCGATCGTGTGACGACGACAAGATGGTGACCTAACGGCAAAACTCGAAGCGCCACTAACGTGCCGAGCGAATGCTAAAGGAGGAGAGTCGACGCTTATCGGGTACGAGGACGAAAAGGCAACCCAATGCACTCCTTTATGACCCTAGTTCTCAGATACGTCAAAAGAGAAACAAAAACTCGTCCAGTATTAATTTCAAATCTTGCGCAATGACTAACGCACAAAGCTCCTCGAATCCAGGACACGAAGTACGCTGAGCGTAGACTAGCGGGTAACGAACCTTCTTCTTCTTGTTCATGGTGGTAGCCATGATGTCTGGAGTACGACTAGACAAGAGGAACAGCGACCCAAGGGAGGAGGAAAAGATCCTAGGCGAGGAGGCGTAGGGTTTATAACGCTGGAGGCAGGAGGACGAGAGAAAGGGGAGCGAGAGAAAGGGAGAGAGGACGAAGTGGGGAGGTGCGATAAACGAGACTAGCGTGGGTCGGGAGAAGGAGGGAGGAAGAGGATGACCACAGCAACACGCAACGAAAGCCGACGAAGGAGTAAACCCCCTCGCAGCGTAACCAAATTTCTTGCTTATAGTATATATTTAAAAAATGATTTCCATCTTACACACGTCAGTAGTCCAATGGTTAGGATATTTGCCTTCCAAGCAAAAGATCCGGGTTCGATTCCCGGCTGACGTAATCATACCCCCGGCACCGCTTTATGTTGACGTGTTCTCCCATTTGGCCACAATTCCTAAGTCTTGCTCACCGTCGCCATCTGATCTAAGGGCTACATCAGGTTGCACAACTTCTGTACGCTCACTGCGATCGAGTTCGTTTTGTCATGTTCGCTTTCCACTGGCCCTGTTCGCCACGTCCTTTGTGGGCCGACGAAGGCATGAGGAGGGGATCAAGAATCCCACCTGCACCTTTTTGAAGGGCTGAAATCAGGGTTTAAGGACAGTCAGCCAGACAAAATCCCGTCGAGCCTGACGATCCCCTCCAAACCTCGGTGGGCTCGCTGTCCTAGCGAACACCCACCTTTTTCGGTTAGGGCTGGGGATCGGATATGCGCAATGCAGTTTCCTGCACTGCTAGCTGGGAATCCCCTCCCCTCCCTCGTGGCTCCCTCGTGCATACCACCTTTTTTGGAGGTGTGCGATGGCATGGATGAGTGATTTTCCTGTAGAAAGGAGGGAGGAAGGTGATCAATCCCCTCGTTTTCCTTCCTGATCCCACGGCAAAAAATCAATCCCGGGGCGAGCCCCCGGACACAATCTGCAACTTCCGTCGCACCTTCTGAATCCCCTCATCCATCCCCTGCCCCTCGCGTTCGCGTGGTTGTGGCGAACAGGGCCCACCATGTGAGACATAAACCACGATACAAGAGCTGTAAATGTGTTAGAAACGTGCAACATGGCATCGGCCTACGAGTGATGTGATAGCGCCGCGAACCAATCTAGACACTCCATGTTATTCCATTCATGTATGTATGTTATTTTAATGAACTTTTAGGGGGGTGGTTTGCCTTGGATACGTAACTAAGACTTGAGAAAACGGAAACGAGAGTGGAATGAACTATGAATGAAGTGGGTACAAGTACTAACCCTAATTGGGTTGTACCCCTTATGGGATACCCCACAACAGCCTACACAAAAGCATAAGCTATAATGTTCTGACACACCCCCATAGGCAAAGTGGGGGAGAACAGGGGGTCACAAGACCAGTCAAGCAAAGCAAAACAAAGCAAAGCAAAACAAAGCAAAGCTCAGGGTGGATCACAAAGTCACCACACATTCCGAGCACAAGTTCAAGGCCACAAGGCCAGTTCACATGCAGGAGTACATATATATATAAGGCTAGACAAGCAAGAGCAGGCATATATATATGTAACAGTACAAGCAAGGTCAAGAGGTGAGCAAGTGAGGCAAGACAAGGACAAGACCCAACTGAGTGCAGAAGCGCTGATGATCACAAGGCGGAAGTGCCTTGGTGAAAACATTAGCAGTGTTGGCCTCAGAGGCCACGTACGCAAGCCGCAACTGTCCACGCTGCTGTAGCTCACGAGCAAGGAAGTAGCGGAGAGCAATGTGCTTCGTTCTGTGCTCCAGTCGCTGCTCGCGACACAAGGCCAGCATGGCCTTGTTGTCTACGTACAGCACTGGAGGAGAACGAGGCGGCTCTCCTAGGTCAGTCAGCAGGTAGGTGAGCCAGCGAAGCTCCTGTGCAGCCATGGCCTCAGCGTAGATCTCAGCCTCACAACTGGAGCCGAGAACAGAAGACGAGCTAGTAGCCCGCCACGAGACAGAGCCGGATACAAGGCTGAAGGTGTAACCCTGTGACGACCGCTGCGTAGCCTGGTCGTCAGCCCAAGAAGCGTCTGCGTGCCCAGTGAGGACCACTGGACTGCGCCCTCCAAGCACTAGCCCCATGCCCGACGTACTGCACAAGTAGCGCAACACCCTCTTCGCTGCAGCCATGTGCTCTGGTCGGTGTCTCCCAGGAGCAACATAGCGTGCAAGAATGCTAAGAGGGTATGCAAGGTCAGGTCGTGTGCAGGTCATCAGGTACATGAGGCAGCCAACAAGCTCTGGATACGGGCCACTCGACTCTACGGACTCATCCGAAGGCAGAGCTGAGAGCGAGTGGCGAGTAGGCAGAGGAGTGGCCTGAGGCGAGGAGTACGTGAAGCCGAAGCGCTGAAGGACCTGCTGCACCATGTGTGACTGAGTCAGGGTAATGGTGCGGCGTGCTCTGTCCCGGGTGATCTGCAAGCCAAGGTAGCTGCGCAGTTCACCCAGGTCTGTGCACGTGTGTCTCTTCTGCAGCTCGGACTTCACGTAGGCGAGTCCAGCAGTGTCAGCTATGGCAAAGACCAAGTCGTCGACGTACACGAGGATGTAGAACGGCGACAGAGAGGTGTCGGTGCGTAGAAACAGCGACGGGTCGGCAGTAGAAGGAGCAAACCCAAGAGCCGCAAGTGTAGTCCTCAGTGTGTCGTGCCACTCACGTGGCGCCTGGCGGAGACCGTAAACTGGACGCCGGAGGCTCCACTGGGTACCAGGAGGGAACGACCTAGTGAAGCCAGGTGGGCGGCGCAGCCAGATCTCATCGTGCAGGCTGCCCTACAAGAAAGCTGTGCTAAAGTCGAGAGAGTGCAGCTCGTAGTCACGGTGAGCAGCAACGTGCAGCAGTAGCCGAAGAGTGGTCATCTTCAGGGTGGGAGAGAAGGTCTGAAAGTAGTCAACTCCCTGCCGCTGACTGAAGCCACGAGCCACGTAACGTGCCTTGAAGACAGGCGGAGAACCCGGCGGCCGCTTCACTCTGAAGATCCACATGCCACTGACGATGTTCGCCCCAGGCGGGGGAACCTCGTCAACGTAGGTGCCTGTGGACTTCCAGGAAGCCATCTCTGTGTCCATAGCTGCCTGCCACTGAGAGGAGTAGGGACCCTCTATTGCCTCCGCGTAGGAGCGCGGAGTCGAGATGTCAAGTGCATCCGGGTCTCCCTCAGGGGTAAGCAGTACCGACACGAGATGAGGTGAAGCTGCTGCCAGACACTGGAACTCCTCCTGCCTGTCCTCAAGGACGTCCGTGCCAAGGGCACACTCACCCCCGACGGACGGAGGAAAGACAGACTCAGACTCAGCGACAAGACTAGCAGCGTAGTCTAGGCGAGAGCGAGCAGCAAAGTCGACGAGCTCAGCAACTAGGGCAGACGCAGCAGTGGACTCGAAAGAAGGGTCAGTGACGACAGTAGCCAGGAGACGCGTGACAGTAGGAGTGGCAGCACAAAGAGAGTCCGACTCCGGGCCGGCAAGAGCAGGAAGAGAGGACTCAGGAGGAGAAGGCAAAGGGGCACGCAGAGGAGCAGTGGACGGACGCGGAGACATCCGGTGCGTGCCAGGGATAGGAGGAGGACGCTGACGCGAACCACGACCACTAGCGCGAGCAGGTTGGACAGGCGACGTAGGGCGAGACGCAGGCTCACGTCGCTCAGCAAGACCTCCAGTAGGACCAGTGTAGGGAGAAGGAGCAGGCAAAGGGGAGGTAGGCTGCAACTGTAACTATGACAGGACAGGCTGTGGACACTCTAAGGGAAAAGGAGGACCAGTAGAAGGTGGAAGACCAAGAACCTGCTGCAGGAGTGGAACGAAGTATAGTCGAGGCCGCGTGGCGACGCCAGACACAGCAGGGACAGCACCAGTACCCCCAGCAAGAGCACCCGCTCCAGCAGCACCTCCAGTAGCTCCAGAACCTCCAGCAGCACCAGGAGTAACCCCAGCAGGACCGCCAGCGGTAGTCTCAGCGCCAACACCCTCAGCAGCACCAGCTCCACTCGAACCCGCAGGCCCAGCAGCTCCAGTACTCCCAGTACGAGCACCTCCGGGACCCACGACAGCAGCACCCTCAGTAGCCGAAGAACCTCCAGCACCAGCAGCACGGCTCCAGCGCCGAGCAAACCACCCGCGCAGCTCCTGTGGAGAGAGTGGCTCCCGCAGAGACGAAGCAACCGGAGAACCTCCAGGCGTAGCACCTCCAAGCTCAGCACCCCCAGGCTCAGCACCCCAAGGTGTAGCACTCCCAGACACAGCACCCCCAGGCGTAGCACCCCCAGGCACAGCACCCCCACGCTCAACACCCCCAGGCTCAGCACCCTCAGGCTCAGCACCCCCAGGCTCAGCACTCCCAGGCTCAGCACCCCCAGGCTCAGCACCCCGAGTCTCAGCACCCCCATGCTCAGTACCCTCAGCAGCACCAGAGTCACCAGTAACCTCGACAGGCTCGACTGCGTCTACCTGGGACACACCTGAAGGGGCAGGACCCTGAGGGGGGAGGGGGTCTACCGGGGGGGGACCTGGCACAAGGAAGAGCGGGGGGGGGGGGGAGGGACGGAGTGCGGTAGGGGAAGAGGCGGTAGTAGGGGACCGACTCGTCAAACGTGACGTCCTGGGAGGACAGAACACGGCGAGAGGTGGGGTGGTAGAACTGCCACCCAGGCGCGTCAGGGGGGAACCCCAGGAAGACGCAAGGAGCAGCACGAGGGGACAGCTTGTCCGCAGACAAGTCGCGGAAAAACACCCATCCCCAGACCCGGAACGCCGACGCATCGCCAACCTTCCCCGTCCATAGCAAGGCTGGGGAGGTCTCCGGCCTGGAGACCCTAGGGTGTAGGTTGATCTGATGCGCCGCGTACCTCACCGCAAACGGCCACAGAAAATGGGGAGTAGCCGCATGCATCATAGACGTACGAGCGACGTCCATGACCATGCCAATGCGGCGCTCAGCAATCCCATTTTGCTGCAGGGAGTCCGGAAGCGTGAAGGTCTGACGGATGGCTCGTGCATGACAGTAGGCTCTCAGAAGGCCAGAGGAAAACTCTCTGCTTCTGTCCGAGTGCAAACGCAGAACAGGAAAGTCAGAGCCAAAGCTCTGCCTGAGCTGGAGACGAGCTGCGCGGATCTAGTCGATCAACACCTCAGTGACATCACCCTTGCTGCGCAAGGGGAAGACCGCGGTGTAACGCGAGTAGTCGTCAACAACGAGCAGGAAGTAGCACTCGTGACCCTGTCCACGGACGCGGGCTGGGCCCCACACGTCCATGTGAAGCGTCTGCAGCGGGGCCTCTGTCGGAGGAAACTGGGAGGAGTGAGGGGCAGCCCGCTGGCGCCCCTCAACACAGGGGACACAGGTAGGGCCAGGGCCCTGAGGAAGGGGAGGGAGGGACCGGGGGAGACCAGAAACAAGAAGACGGGAGGCCATGCCTCTGAGCCGAAG